TGGCGGAAAAGCAATAAACACATCAATAAGGAATCCCTCAAAATAAGCAATTAAATTCTAACTATTGGTCTGGGACATTATCCCTCAAGAATTGAAAATTAAGCCTACAGCCCTAAAATGAAAAAAAACTCAGATGACTTAAGGGTTTTGCTGTGTATGCATTCATTATCATGATCTTCTTTAATATATAAAAAAACTGAGTTGGATTATAACAGTATCTCCTTTACAGTTATCATAAAAATATTTATTTTATTTCCGTGGAATTGTATTTTTTCACATGGATAAAATTTGCTTTGTCTTTTATGGGATTTTGTTTGCATGCATGTGTGGAGAGGACAGGTATGAAGCAGATTGTATCCATATATTCCTTATGACCTTAGGGTATGTTTTGTCTGTTCTTCCTGACTGAGAGGCAAAATGGTTGTAATAAAATCATAATTAAAAAACCAGCAGTTGTTTAACTGAGGATTTATTGCTATTATTCAGACTTGAAAACTAATTATGATTCTGATAAATATTCTAACTTTGAGAAAGTTGTATAGCCTCTCTGATCTGCAATATCTTTTTTTTTTTTTTTTTTTTTTTTTACTTATTGCATTGTATTGGGATTAGATTAATAAATTACATAGTTTACATATCTTAAATCCTCATTAATAAGTATTAGCTCTTATTATTTAGAGATTGGTAATAATTCACAAGAGGCTTGACATTTGAAATTTACAGCAGTAAATTTAAATAATGAAGTCTATTATTAATGAAAAAATATCTTAATCTTTAAAATGGGTATAAATATATTTTAGAGTTGTGAAGATGAAATTTGAAATTTACTGTCTTTACCTAGCAAAATGCCTGCCATTCAATAGAGAATCACAGTATGTAGCAATAGATATCAATTATTTTGGTGATTTTTTTTTTCCTTTCTGTAGAGAGAGTTTTTATTGGAGGAAGAGGTGACTTATTCAGCTCTATGAAACATCAGGATTTGCTAACTTTTGTTGTAAAATTTTGCAGCGTAACATTCTTGCTGATTTAAAGTTTGCCCTCTATGAGGGCATGGAATTCCAGAGGCCTCTGCTTGTATATTCTCCTCTTTTTTCCTACATGCTTTGATCAAAACCAGATCCCAATGATTAATTCAAGAGGATTTGTGAAGCTATCTTACACTAAGTGGTAGGTTATCATTTATAGTGTAATTTTTAAGCACTGTAAATGATGCGTTTTTGTTTTATCAAGTGGTAATTACTTATCCAGAATACTTTTTATAACTCAATGATAGATTAACTAGAAAGATATTTTCACGTCCTTTGTAGGAATATGGATGAACCTGGAAACCATCATTCTCAGCAAACTGACACAAGAGCAGAAAATCAAATATCGCATGTTCTCACTCATAGGTGGGTGTTGAACAATGAGAACACATGGACACAGAGAGGGGAGCACTACACACTGGGGTCTGTTGGGGGGAAATGGGGGAGGGACAGGGGGTGG